CTTAACCCCTAAACCCTAAACCCCTAAACCCAACCTAAACCTCTAAAACCCTAAAACCCCAAAACCCTAAACCCGAGCAGAGTGCAGGCTGACGGTGGAGTCGTGGGGCTGCGCAACCAACACACCCAGGGATTGAGGACTGGATTTGTCGCGACTCCAGCGCTTTAGGGTTTAGGGTTTAGGGTTCAGGCTCCTCTGTTCAAACGGACTGTCGGATATGTTTTCGCACAGCAGTAGTGAGAGCGGTCACGGCAGGAATAGTAGCAGTCGTCGTCGTAGTAGTAGTCGTAGTAGTGGTGGTAGTGGTAGTAGTAGTCGTAGTAGTGGTGGTAGTAGTAGTAGTAGTAGTAGTAGCAGTAGTAGTAGTAGTAGTAGTAGTAGTAGTAGGAGTGGCAGGAGCAGCAGCAGCAGCAGCCGCCGCAGCACCAGTACAGTAGCAGTTTCAGGAGCAGTAGCTGCAGAAGCGGCAGTGGATGCGTCAGTCCTTTTTGTAGCCCATTTGCTTCCATGGTACTGTGCTAGACTTTGCGACCTTCGTCGCCCATGTCAACAGCTCAGGGCCGCACAGAGACAACGTGACCTGCACCTCAGCGTGCTGGGATCCGACAGACGTCCTAAACCCTAAACCCTGAACCCTAACCCTAAACCCTAAACCGTCCGTCTATGGGTCTTTGGCTTTTGGGGACTTGGCTGTTCGGGTGTAGCCGTGCAGGGGCTCCTGTGTTGGGAGGCGCGGCACAAAGAAGCCTCACGTGGAGGCTGCAGAATCAGGCAGCGACCGGGCAGACTTCAAGCTTTTTAGTTCCGGGCCCAAGGTTGCTCGGGGGCTCAGATTTCTAGCAGTTTGAGGCTTCGGGCTCGGAGTTCATGAGTCGGCCGAGGTTCAGGGGTTTGTTCCCGCAGTACCGAAATTTCAACAAGCTCTGTTCACGACCACTCCACAGCAGACGCGTCTCTCTTTCTGCATTTTCCGGCGTTGGGCCAAAAATCGGCACATGGACGCTTGCCGCAGGAGAATTAAGCCCCAAACCGTGAACCCTAAACCCTAAACCCTAAGCCCTAAACCGTGAACCCTAAGCCCTAAAATGGCGCCTGCCACCTCGCAAGCGCATCCAAGCATCTTCAGGTCCGGGGCACAGATCTGCCCCAAAACCCTAAACCCTAAACCCTAAACCCTAAACCCTAAACCCTAAACCCCCAACCCGGAAAGGTAGACAGCACACCCGAACCCCTAAACCCTAAACCCTAAACCAGAACGCCCGACCAGAAGGCCTGGTCTAAGTCAAAAATCCACGTCGAAAGCTTCATGTAGAGATTCAATGGGTTTAGGGTTTAGGGTTTAGGGTTTATGGATTCAGAGGTCATGAGCCGTATCAGATGTCATGGTACGCGTGTGAAACACGATACACCTCGTCCTACGATTACCATAGTTGACAGGAGTCCCCAATGTCCAACCGCGAGACAACACCAAGAATTTGACAAACGATGAGCTGCAATCCGACCCATAGAAGCCCTGTAAACCCCTAATTAAACCCTAAACCCTAAACCCCTAGCGCACACTCCCTGAAAACCCGCTGCTCCCGAAGCTTGAGCCCCATTCACGGGACGCAAGCTGAGAAGGTCACTGACAGCGGTTTGTCCCTGCGGCACTTAGGTGGACGGGCGTTGCGGCACCGCAGGATACATACCCTGTCTGTTTCTCTCCCTAAACCCTAAACCCTAAACCCTAAACCCTAAACCCTCTCTCTCTCTCTCGCGTTCTTCCTTTCTTTCTGCGTGCCTGAGGAGAGGGTTTCCCTTCCCCCACCTTTTGGGAAGTAGAGATCATCTACGCTTACGGCCCCGACTCTGGGAGACGGAAGAAGAAACATCATTGCTTCAGGAATACATCATGCTCAAAGGGGGCCCACAGTTGTTTGTTAAACCATTCCTTGGCTGATTGGCTGGAAGAAAAAGAATAACGTCAAGCCCTGGCTACGACTTCATTCACTGCGGGATTACTTCTCAATCTCTCGCTCTCGCTCTCTCTCTCTCTCTCTCTCTCTGTCTGTGTCCTGAACATCTGAATGTCTATATGTCTAAACTTTAAACCCTAAAACAGCGACAAACCCCAAGGACACTAGCACATGAAGAGAAGATGGCTCATTGGCCGTTTGCATGGGCCTCAATATATGGCTTTAGCTTTAGATGGTTGATTGTAGAGATTTCGGCTTTATGAAGTTCTACTGTGAGTTATAGGTAGTTCTAAGGGGGTCTGAGTAATAGAAATCTGCTTGGTAATTCTCACATCTGGCTCCCAGCCGAAGCGGAGAAGATCTACAGGATATCTTACCGAAACAGGAAGCGCTTGAAATCGGGCATACGTACAAAGAAAAAAGAGAGACAGAATGCAGCAAAAGAAAGCAGAGCGATAGGCACACCACCACCAAACCTTTGGCCCTGTGGCGCTCGTAGGCTCTGTTCAACCTTCGACCCTGAGCACTCAACTTAGCCCCATCGCCCAAAATCTCTACACCCTGCCTCCGCCCGCGCGGGTGCAGTCATACCCGACACCGTGCGGGCCACGGGTACCTCCGTGCAGAGATGGTCTACGCTCAAGGCCTCTACTCAGCAGGATTGCCAGTTCACGTAGTGTCGCGCACCAAAAACGATGACCGGGAACAGCTCAGTGATCACAGAGCTGTCGCTCAGTCCCATCATGAAAACCCGAAAGCATCATGAACAGCCGTCGTACAGTTCTTCGCCGCGAGACCACTTGTGCTCAAGTTTCTGACCCCAACCCGAAGCCCCGTGAGTCTTGAACGCCAAGCTCGATGAACCCTAAACCCTATCTTGAAACCCCAGACCCCAAATTAGGGTTCTTGTCAGTCCTTGTCTAGATCCCCAAAATAGCAAGCCAAAAAAAAGGACCCCAGGTTACAGAATCTCTCAACCCCCCTAAACCCTAAACCTTAAACCCTAAACCCTAAGCCCTGAGCCCAACCCCCCTAAACCCTTTCCTGCACCTGCGCCTGCGCTGGCGTCACGACGAAGGAAGCCCGCGCCTTGGGCATCGGCACCACGTTCCCTCGGTGCCGACGGGGATATCAGCTAGCATGAGGCACGCCTATCGCGAAGATAGTCTGTCTTGTAACCCATACCCCCCGAACCACCCCAGAAACCAAAAAAATCTATCTACTTGGGCACGCCTGTCGGGAAGATGGTTTTCAGAAATCCCTATAGGATTGTACATATTGATTCTAGGTGTAAATGTGTAGGGGTGTATGGGTTTCGGGACCATCTTCGCGACAGGCATGCCTCATGCTAACCATATCGTGTGTTAGGGTTTAGGGTTTACGGTTTTGGGGTTCAAATATCTTAATGTAGGGCCTGAAGAATTTGAATAGGGTTCTGGGTGTGCGATATAAGAACTATAATAAAGAACTCCCAAAACAGCAAAAAAAACATGGGGATCTTCGAGAATAGGATCCTTTGACATTCGGGCTTGCGAGCTTTAAGGCTTCGGGCAGGACTTCTACAGGCTTTGCGGTCGAAACCCAAACCCTAAGCCCTCAACAAACCCTGCACTTGCCAGGAATGCATCTTTGTATGCTTCTTTTCAGCGTTCGCGGAGCATTCTGACTTGGAAATCCAAGCCCAACGACTGACAGCCAGCAATGTCGCAACAACCACCCAAAAAAGTCCCACACGAACCTGAGACCCAAAGATCCTGAACGCCCTAATTAGACCCGGCCTGCAACCAGAGCCTGAACATGGCAACGGTTGACGAAACTTCAACCGCCCCAAGCTCATACAAGAGAGGCGTTCTTCCAGGCAGCCGCGCCCGTTCTGGCGTCGGGCGCGCGCTGCACCGCCGGGGCCTCTTGGGTACTCGCGGCGTCGGAGATGCAAGGCGTTTTCAATGTGGCATAGCAGCAATGGCTTACCTCGAAAGCCTTCGTTGTCAAGTCAGAGCTCTTCATCAGACCCAGAAAGAGCTCATGCAGTGAAACTTGCTGGTTAACAACACAGCCAGGCCCTACCCACCCGAAACCTTGAAGCCTTTGAACCCCTCACCCGATCTGACGGCCCCGGCCATCACGACCTGACCACCACCTGAGAAGTCGCAACAGCTTTCACGCCCTAGAGTTGGGTAGTTGTCAAAATTATGGTCCCTTTTGGGGTACCCCAAATAATAGGTGCCGTATTATAATAAGGACCCAAAAAGGGACCATAATTTTGACAGCCACCCAGTTCGACAGTCAAAGCTGCACCTGAACCAGCAAGTGTGTGTAGATTTTCACGGTACAAACAAGTCCCAGGTGCCGGGAACCACGACCACAACGGCACACCCCTAATGCAGAAGCGCGAAGTAGGGGCATGGACGCTAGGGGCTAGGGGTATCAAGCGTATAATCTCGAAGTCATGTAGACATGTCTAGGTACAGCGAACGGATGGGGATGCAAGCTTGCATGCAACACCGCAACAAGACAGGGCATTGACTGCCTCTACAACTGCATCACTCTCTGCGGAAATGTTGTCAGTGAACCACCAACAGCAAAAGAGCTTCCCAAAAAGCATCGTCATGACGATGACGGTGGTGATGACGATGACGATGATGATGATGACGACGACGATCATGACGGTGGTTATGACAATGATGATGACGACGACCCTGGTGATGATGATGATGATGGTGATGACGACGACGATGATGATGACGACGA